ATTGCAAGCATTTAAAACAGGCTTCAAACAGTTTAAGACACTTTTACAGGAGCGAAAAGGCACATTGGAAAGAGCTCCAAAAGCAGGGAAACGGAGATCAAAGAGCTCTTTCCGATGCCCCTTTTCACTCCTGTAAAAGTGTCTTAAACTGTTTGAACGGATTAACCGGTTTTCAATGCATTCCTATGGGAAATGGTGTTTCACAGAACGATGTTTCACACAACGTTGATTTTTTCACATTGTTGTGTGAGGCACCACTGTATAGTGTACATCAGGCTGAAGTCACATTTCCCAAGCAGCAAATAAAGAGCAGATGGACCATAAGCACATTTATAGCTGAGTTAAGCAGACGTGTATGCACACCATCATCATCAGGCAGATTGTCATGTTCAACAAAGCAGCAGTCCAGCCCCAAGCTGAAGAGCACCAATTGGTTATCTATCCTCTTGATAGATTACTAAGATTGAGGGACAACTCTTGTGTGGAAACAAAAATCTTGCAGCAGCTGCACATTTTTAAAATTGGTTTTGATATGTCAAGACACTGTTTTCATAAAGGATAAGGAAATCTACAAATGTTCTTATTTTAGAGCTAAGTAAGGATGTGATGTTGATCAATGTGTAGCATTGATCTGCTGTTTGTAACTCTGGTGTTCATTGAATGTTTTATTCCACTGTCTTGCTATTACCTTGTTATATTTTATTATAATCTGATGTGAAATGTTTAGAGGACATGTATGGAAAGCAGGAATATAAAATGTTCATGTAGGAATCATAAGCACGTCGCGAAGAATAATTTTACACCAAACCCCTTATGGTTTTGTTTTGATTTTGTTTGTTTTTGTTTTGTTTTGGCTTCTGGGATTTCATTGTGCCACAGCAATTTTAATTGTCCAATATCATAAGTGAACATGGAACAAAAAAAGTGCATGCTTTGCCAAGTCTCCTCAGCATCCTCTTTTTGTAAAACATCCTTTTTGACTGTGATTCCTGAGCCAGACATAGCAGAATCTGATTTATCTCAGTGTGTATGGGTGAAGCTTTACAAAATAACAGAATTGTGCGATGAAAGGAGTGCATTCAGAACAGCCAGCATGTCTGTAAAAATCTTAACTCTTCATGACAGTACTTTTGAACGTATGTGATAATTTGTACCTTGTAGGTAGAATTTTATGCATGCTGCTAGAAAAATTGGCTTACAAGAGGTCCCATAATAGAATCATTAGAAGATCTTTAGATATAGATGTATATATAGATATGGATATCTTCTGTTTCCCCAAAAATAAGACCTAACCTGAAAATAAGCCGTAGTATGATTTTTCAAGATTCTCATAATATAAGCCCTACCCCAAAAATAAGCCTCAGTTAAGTGAAGCCTCACCCTCCACCATTCTGCAGCAACCAGAAGAAGATGACATGACTGTATTTGAATAAATGTAGATTGCTGTCCATGGAAAAAAAATTAAACATCCCCTAAAAATAAGCCATAGTGCATTTTTTGGAGCTAAAATTAATATAAGACCCTTTATTATTTTCAGGGAAACACAGTATTCATTGCCTTGACCAAACCATATCAATTTAATTAGTACATTATTTTAGCTGATCGTCTTTCTAAAGGAATGAGAAATATAAGGCTCTTCAGATGTTCTACTGCATCTCCCATTATCCTTAGCCGGTCTGTCCAGTGATAAGGAATAATGGGAACAATAGTTCAAGAAACCTTGAAGGCCAAAAAAAAGAGAAAGAAAAGAAAAAATGTTTCAGGATTATGTATACACATGTCATATCAATGCATGTAAATCTTAAATGTTAGAAGGAAATCCTTGTGAATATAAGATGAGATGTTCTGGATCAAACCAGGGGGCCACCTGGCCCAGCCTTCTGTTAAGACACTGTTTGGCAGTGTTTACTTATTTCTGATTTGTTTGTTTTAATTGATTAATTGATCAGCTTCATACATTTTAATTAAAATGGTGGATTTTGTTTTCTAGTTCACTCTTATTAACTGCTTTCGATTCTATATGTTATAAGCTGTGCATTCAAAGAAGCATACATCTTTAAAAGCAAAAAAGAAAGAAATCTTGAGAGTCGCACATGCTCCGTTCCTGCCTCCAAATTTTCTGACTGTCAAAATTAGAATAAACTATTATCCTTCTGTCTTTCCAAAGGACATTTCTGCCACTCTCCAGAATCTCTGTTATTTCAAATACAAAAGAATGAGGGCTCGTGTTATCATATTTTCTCTTTTTGAACATTTCAGTGTAATTTTAAAATGGTCAGCGCAAAACATTTCAGTGTGTCATTGTAGATTTTCTTCCTTGTCATTATATATGTCTTCTTTTGGGCTGAAGCAAGATTCCTTCCTTGACTGAATTAGAAAGATATGCTACTGCCTGGACAGGTGGGCATATTATATAGTCAGCCGAGGGTTTTTTCTGGGTTTTGTTGATTGCATACCTATTATACCATGAAGTCAGGTTTACAATTTAGCATGACTTTCCGGCACTGTAATGGTACCTAACTGGATAGGCTGCTTAGCCCCAGAAGGCCAAAAGTATTATTTACTTCTCTACTGTGGTGTGCCCTACAATGGCTTTCCTATTACTGTACTTGCATTCTGTGTGGGTGACTTCAAGAGTTAATGACTACC